GAGAGAGAGAGAGAGAGAGAGAGGGATAGGGAGTGAGGGTGAGAGGATTGGGGGGCGAGGGAGGAGTGGGAGCCCTAGAGAATATGACTGAAATTGGGAACTGTTACGGGAAACGATCCGTTGTCTTCGGAATTGAACACATCTCTCTGTATCAGAAGGGCTGAATTTGCATTTATATCATTTGAATATTTCAGAGATTAAACTTTCATGAAAAGGTGAACTCTTTAGAGCAGTTAAGGATGACAGATAACTTCCTAGTAATTCAAACGCAGAAAAATCGATTTCACAAGGAATTGCGACAAATCGAGTAGATATATGACAATATTGGTTTTGAAAAGTACGAAGTACGCTGTAAATAAGCTGAATGAAAGAGCATCAGAGTGTTGTCGTGTCAAAACTGACTGGAGTGCTCTTTCGCAAAATATAAAATTATGAACTGCAACATTCAGAATATTTTATTCTCTTTCAGAGAGAATACAGCAAATTTGTTGGTGGAAGTATAGAAAAAGTAAAGAGGAAATATCCGTATGATCCAGCAAGCAATTTCTTTTTGAAGACTTTTCACAGGAACAGCATGTGTTTTGTGGGTTGACATAATATGAGATACAGAATAAAGTATAATATTGTGTAATGTTGTGATCCAAATGTTGGTCCCCTAACAAAGCATCAGATCAAGAGAAAATCTTTTCGTGTGTACTCTTAAAATCTGACATATCTAGGGCTTATAATGATTGTAATCTACTGAAAAATAACTCCCAGTTGAATTGATGTAGATTTTCTAGAAGGCAGTCAATTTCGTTTGTCTTTCCGAGCCAACCCAAGCTGAGTAAGATAAATTGTCTCATCAAACAAATGGAGGTACTAGCTTTTTTAAAAAAAATTCCCCTTTTGGGGATCGACGTGAGGTCTGCTGGGTGAGAACAATAGTCTATAGACTTCGGTTCTGGGTCTTAATGATGGACAGCTCACAGTTGTCATGTTGGCCAACCTGTATCAAGCCACAACTGTCATCAGAATTTTTTTCCCCTTGTTCCGATATATTTTTTCTTCATTTTGAAACCAAGGGAACTCTAAGACACCTTGGCATTGTGTATTTTTTAAGCGGCCCTCACACACACGTGCAAATGAGCGCAAGCCAGGCAAGGCACCTCGTCTTCAACTTGGGGCCGGGCTTATAATTTGTCAACACAAACAAATAGAAGTCACGCCTGTGGATAGTCGTCAATTGTCTGGCTTGTTAACATTATCGGAACTGTGTGTAGAGTGTCTTTTTATGTAGAATTTTTGTCAGACAACAAATCAGCATGGTAGCAGTGTCAAAATCACCGCACATTTGGCGCTGATAACGATTTTGAGGTCAAATACGCTTCAAATATACCCAACCACTCCACTCTACCCCTAGCCGATGAAACATTATTTAGTGCACCCCAGATATTTGGACCTGCACCCGGCCCCATGTACTCTCGGACACACACACACGGCTATTTTCGACGGTTTTAGAGTTTCAGGGCCAGACCTGGGCCCCAATCACAACGTGTGTGAGGGCCCTCTATGGGGAGCACTGATCTCTCACAAGGTCATCTTTGTTATCATTGTTTCCCTCTCTCCCCAATCTCTTAAAAATAAATTGTGTTTCTCTCGTTACTGTTTCCTTTTCTGTTCAATTTATTGTTTTGCTTATAAAATTTTGTCTTCTAGTTCGTCTGTTTTTGCCCACCCCCTCCCCTTTGACATTCAATT